TACGGCTATTCAGCCTTTAGCAGCCAAAATCAGAGTCCTTCCCCAGAACTGCTCAGCCTTGTCTCCTGGTGATTACTGTGTAAATGTACTTAGGGAGTTAATGGGTAACTAAGACTTGTTAGGATGTGTGGATAATAGCAGGTTCCTAAGTCTTGAGAGCCAGCAATATTCAAAGCCCTAAATTTTCTCAAGAAGATGTGGTCACAGGCTCCCAGTAAACCCCAGATATTTTCAGTTGAAATGCACTTTTAATGCCCAATCCTGAATGGACTAATTTTCTTTTTGAAACATCATCTCTGATCTAAATTATGTTCATCTACCATTCTCCACTTGGGTCACCTACAGCTTTCACTCACCAGATCACTGTTCACCAGCACCTACTGAGGACCAGATGCCATCCAGGCAAGACCTGGCCCTCATTCTGGCTCAGTGTAGATTTAAAGGTACAAGGACCAATGGTGAGAAGTGAACATCATGAGAACTCAGAGGAAGGCCACATATCCTACCAAGGAGATGTCACAGAAAAGTTGCCTGGTGGTCTGAAATCTCAAAGGTGTGAGTTCACCAGGAAACAGTGGGTGGACAGGAGAGGACGGGGCATTCCTTGGGCAAAGATTCATAGACCATGCACAGTTCCTTACACAAGTGAATGGGCACCAGCTGAACATGGAGGAAGCTGATTCCTGCTTCCTGGGGGACGCAGAGGAAGGCTTCTGTGTACCTCTAGTTCTATTAGGGAGGAGTCAGAATGTGCCTCCCTGGAGATCAGGGCCTGTCAGGCTACCAGTAATGTCCACAATACAGAGCCTTCCTCCTCCTGTGAGGGTTGGAGAAGGAACCCCCACCTCTTCATTTCTGGATGCATCAGAGGTCACATCCAAGGGCCCTATGCATATATATATTGTCAAAAACAAAACAAAAAACCAACCGTGGCCTGGATAGGATGTAGTTTAGATGGCAGAGTCTTTGCTAGCATGAACAAAGCCCTGGGTTTAATCCCCAGCACAGCGTCTGTAATCCCAGTACTTAAGAGACACAGATGGGAGCATCTGGAGTTCACATTCATCCTTGGGTACATAGCCAGTTCTAGGCCAGCCAGGGATAACCGAGACCCTGTCTCAAAAACAAACAAACAAAGCCATAGTATCTTGTGTCATGGTCTCTTATGCTTGATGACAGTGAACTACAGCCAAGGACTGGAGGCCCTTTTCTAATAAGGCTTGTGCTCAATCTCCAGGCTCACTCCAGCCTTTACCCAGCTGTCCTCACTCATTTACTGCCTGATGGCCATCAGGGTTTAAACGCCCTCTCCCCGAGTGCTGGTAAATAAAGCAGCATTTATTCAACCCACCCAGCTGTTACTGACTCTTATCTGATGTAGTCCAGACAGCCTGTCCAGCTTACTGGACAAGGGTTGAACTAAGGCCCCGCCCTTGTTTGTGGGAATGAGGGTGGCAAGTGGCAGGGCCAGGTTTCTGCTGGGAACAAAATAAGAGTTTCTGGGGAACCAGGCTATCAAAGCAGGGGAAAGGCTGTGCATCCAGGACACAGTCCTGCTAGAGATCATTATCCCAGGGCCTGGCAGCCTCTTAGACTGAACTGAGTGGTTTCTCCGCCAACTCTGCAAAGAAATAGTAGGAAACAAAGCCGGAGAGCTCAGGCTTGCCCTTCTCAGCTTCCCCATTTATTTCATTTCTGGGAAGGGAGTCCATTGGGTGTGAGTTCACAGACAGGGAAAGCTGCTATTGGAGAACCCCTTCCCCGCCCACTCTGTGTGAATTAGCACGTAGCCGGTTTGATATTAATCCACAAGTAGGCCAATAGAGCCAACACGGTCAGGGGTAGTAAATAGCAGGAACACCATGTATTTTCCACAAGAATGGCAGAGGTCATTCAATCAGTGTGCCTACTTTCATGTGACCCTTGCAAGGGTGCTAGAAGTAGATGGATTTCTTTTTTTAAACTAAGGATTGAGGGAGAGGCCACAGAACTGTATTAACTGTAACCATTTTTGAAGATGCTAGCAGATTCTATTACTTTCTTATTTGACACTGACCTCAAGGCCAACTCAGGGCCCTTGAAAAGGTGACGTTAACTTCCATTAGTAATGGCAATTCCCATTCACTGGATATTGGAACTAGTCTAAGTGACAGATCAAATGTCATCTTTGTGACCTGTTGAAATGGTTGCTTTTGAAATCCCATTCCATACCTGGGGGAAACTAAGCCGTGTTGGCCACTTGCCCCAGGTTGCCCAGTCAGTGGGCAGGGAGCAGACCTGAAATAGACCTTGCCAGGACACCTGGTGCTCAAGTCTTCATTCTCAACTTCCCTGCATGTCCATTTCACTGTCTTCAGGACTGGAAACCTTAGCAAGTAGGAGTCTGACAAAAGCTAGAGATGAACACCTGACTCCATCCCCACCTAAGTGACCTATCAGTTCGACTAATTGAAAAGAATAATAGTAATTGTTCTCATTTGGCTCCAGTGTCTGCCAGGGTGGTGAGGATGTTTTAGACTGAGGAAAAGGACAGGAGCATTCAAGGGATATTAATCCACCACCCACACTCTCCTCCCCTCCTCTCCTCCTGTCTCCCCCCTCCTTCTCTCTCCTCTCTCCTCTCCCCTCTCCATCTCTTTTTCTTTTTGACACAGACTCTTACTCTGTAGTCCAGGCTTGCTTCGTGGTTATCTTCCTGCCTCAGCATTCCAAGAGCTAGGATTATAAGCATAATTCAACATGTTCAGCTTGCCCGGCTGGTTTCTAAGACAGGAAAAACTGGATGACTTTTCCAAACTTACTAGCTACTTGAAGAAAAGAACCATATATTTTCCCTCTCAACCACAAACTCTACTGCAAAACTTTCATGGGGCCAGGAAAGCTGGTGCTGACCTGGGAACCAGGGCTCTTGAATCTTCAGTACCCTTTCTTACCAAAGGCTGCTATGGGAGCCAGTGCCAGACCCACAGAAGTGGTTTCTTCCTCCTGGTGCTTGGTTTTGGCAGCATCAAGGCCTCCTCCACCCAAACCTTATCGGAAGCCAGGATGGGCTCTTAATCTACAGCTGCCAGCGCCTTGCCCGGACCCTCTCGGGAGGGACATTATCATCCCCAAACAGCTGACCACAGACAGGACTCCAGGCTGCCATGGTTTACCAAGCTGTAGGAAAGCTGAAAGTCTAGTTTCAGAGCCTGGGCAAGCAACTGCCTGTTACTCAGAGCCCTAAGACACCCAGCAGCCAGTAGGTGTTCTCTGCTCCTACTTATACTGGTCAAGTCTGAAAGAAGTAACATCTTCCTGGATCACAGAGCCCTCTTGTATAAATTGAGTGGCCATTATTAGCCTACCAAGAACCAAAAGCAACCCCAAGTTGAATCTGCCATCCTGTGGTTTCCCTGACAAAGATGGGTTGGCCTGCCCCCGTGGCCGCCTGACAACCTTCCCTGAATGCCATTCGGTCTTCCACTAGGTGATGAAATGTCCCTTAGGAGTGGGGCCTTTTAGGAAATAAGAAGATAGATGCATACTTTGTATTGAATAACCCAAAAGAATTTGACACCAAGGATGATCCTAACCCTGTCCTTGCATCCACAAAGAGAAGAACAAAAGAAAGGGCTCTTCCTGCAGTACCCCCTGACATTAGTGGGTTCCAATATTCTATTCATGACACAGATACACTGACCTCCCCTGGCCAAGCTGACTTCCCTTCTCTCTTCACACATACAGACATATGCACCCAGATTCCCTGCCCTAACTGACCAAGAACACCCAGAACAAACTGCATGTTTGTGTATAAAGCTATGCAGTATGAAATGAAATGAGACTGTCTAAGCATTTCAGAACAGCCTGCTTTGTGCCAAGGAAAACATCCAATGTGGGTCAAAATGTGCCTGAAGCTTTATTGGGAAGCCAAGTCTGTATCAAAATTCTAGGAAAGAACCCCAAAATCAAGCATGGCAAGTTATTATTTTTACATAGATCCTCTCCATGAAGTCAAGGGTAGTTACAAATGACAACAAGCCATTGGTTCTCATGCCATGTGCTTTCAGAAATTACTGCTTTCCAGCTAACTTGTGCCATTGCATTCAGCATATGTGGTCCCAGTACGCAGATCCCGGGGCTCAACTGCTCTAACAAGGCAGGAAGAATGACATTAATAAATGGCAGCAGAAGTGACAACTTATGAAAACCAGGGTGTGTTTTAGTTGTTTTTAATATTCATTGGTGATATAGTCAAGTCACTAGACAGCTGCATGAAAATTGGTTCCAAGACCATTGTAGACACTCAGGTCTCCTCTGTAAAACAACTTAGCAGTTTTTAGTTGAGTATCCTCACATGTACCTTAAATTATAAGGCTGTTTGCAATGCCCAATACATTGGAAATAGTTAAACTATACTGTTTCTGGAATGGCAAGGAAAAGTCTGTCCATGTAAAGATGCTGCCACTATAGGCCTAAGACCCCAGCATATGGGATGGATGGATGTGCTCAAATGAGGACCCCACAGACAACATGTGGAGGTGCCAGGAGAAACAGCAGAGTGGGCTTGTGTATGATTGCGGTCATATCACATGTACTGGCATGCTTAGCGTATGACAAGTCAAAATGTTGGTTTTAGGGGAACTTTCTGAATTTTTTTTTTCTGTATAATTTCCAGCCATAGCTGGTTGCTTCCACAGATGTGGACACAGAAGGGCAGCTTTTCAAATGTGCTGAGTGACTAAGAATGAAACTATGGAATAGGCTGCAGAGTGTTCAGACAGCATATTTTTAGAGACCTGTGAGAATATTTATAAAAGGACAGAAGTGGGGAGCTACCTCCTGGGGAGGAGGTACATGCAAATGATGTCACCACACACCCAAGGTATGTCTTGTAACATCTGCACGCTACAGACTGACCCAGGATATCTGATGGAATTCCACAAAACACGAAGCCAGGGTTTGGTTCTGAGAGGGAAGTGCCTGTTGGCACTATGGAATTTTACCTTCTCTACACGGCACACGATTTGCTGCATTTTTATTAAAAACAAAAGTGTACATATGTCCATAAGCTGTACAGTCTTCCATATAAAAACACTATTATACAATTAGTAACCTTTGTCTTTTCTGTCAGAATAGCTTACAAACTTACCACTATTACTTATTTTTACTTAATAAGAGAGACAGGCCTGCTCAACAGTCCAGCTCTGGGGGTTTTGTCATTTTTAAAGTGAACATCGACAAGAAAGAACAGATCTCAGCATGAGAGCAGGAGGCTGCTTCTAAAGAGGCAGGGACCTGTTTGCGGACAAGACATGAGAACCATCTGCAGCAATTCACAGCTTTGTTTCCACCCACAGCACTTGGGTCTGTGGGCCCAGAGTTAACTTTAAAGCGAGAGAGGTGAAGCCGCCTGGGAAGGCTGTGCGAAGCTGGGAGTGCCTGAGCAGGCTGGGCAGAGTGTTTGGAAAATAGCACCTTTGAGTGGAAACTGAGGAGTTAAGAAATCCAGGAAATGGGATGCCATGGCGGTGGAAATGGGGAAGCGATTCCTCATTAAGGAGAGCGATGGGCTGACTCTATCTAGCTCTGTCCTTCAGTTTGAGAGACTCAGGTCTTCTGAGGACCCTCATCAGTGTCACTGGACCTGAAGGAAAGCCATTTTCTCCCAGTGTTTTCCAATTTTCTCCAGTCCATAACAGTATATATTGCACACATCTACAGATAAATTTGGATTTTACTGAGAGAGACAACCTCCCCCATAGGTGCTCTGAGCACCAAGGAGATAAAGCTGTGCCCAAAGTGTGGCTCTTAGTGGCAGCCCTACACAAAACCAGCTAGTGCACAGGCACTCTCTCTGCAGCCTAGAAAGATCTCTGCAAGACCCACCAGCCAGCCAGAACCCACCAGGGCGCCAGGAGGGGCTAGGAGGCCCAGTCTCAGAATTTCCTGGGACTATTGCACAGTGATTGAGAACTCCTGTCCTAGGAAATGGGGCCCTCCAGGACCCAATCACATGAAAGAGGGGAGCGGGGAACAGGAGTCTTGAGGAGAAGGCAGTAAGAAAGGACCCGGAGTTCCCTGGAGCTTTGAGCCACCTCTCAAAGGAATAATGGTAGCAGCATTCGGACTTTCATGTGGTTCCCAAAAGCAGGGTTTAGGAAAAGGGAGGGAGAGAACCATCCCTCTTTGGGTCCCAAAATTCCATTGCAAATCACCCCTAAATTATTTGCCATCCATCCATACAAAGCAGTGCAGCACAGAGCAGAGCAAAGGTTTTGTGTGGTTCCCTCCATCTATACCCAAGTCTTTGCACACCTGCCTTACATCCCACCCTCCAAATATGTTCATATAGATTCCTGGCTGGGAAACAGCCTTTCCAGGTCCCCAAGGGTAGACTCAGGAATGAGACAAGATTTCAAGAGAACCTGCTCAGAACAGAAGGAACAGGAGAGGTCGTTCACTCTACCCAGGGTCTCAGCAGAAACACAAAAGAAGATTAGGCAATGTAGTATTATTTAAGACCAGGCTTGAATGCCCCTGAGTAAGAGAGGAACCAGGCATCCAGGCATCCAGGCATCCAGGCATCCCAGGAAAGATCCTGACCCCTCTCATTCACAGTTGCTAACCTTCCTTGCTCCCTTTTACCACCTCCTGGGGGATCAGCCAAGAATCCCCCTTTACCTTGGCTAGGCCAATCCCCAAACCACTCCTCTAGGCAAACACTGGCTCACAAATTCAATAACAGTTCTTTCCAAAGGCACCTGGGGAGGCCACTTCCAAGCAGCTCCCTTTAAGGATTTTTTTTTTCTTTAAAAAAAAAAATCTTTTGGTTTTTTTTCTCCTCTTTTCTTAAAAAAAAATAACATGTATAAATAGCTCTTCATTTAAAAATACAGTTCCCCAGGTTGAGGTATACGGTGGCCTGTTGTCACGGCAGCATGAGTACAGTAGAGTGCCCGGGTAGGGTGGCTCCTATTTAGCTGGAGACAGCCATCACATAGTTCTTCGAGGGGCTGCTCCTGCCCAGCATCATTTGGTTCTTGCAAGTGAGGAGCCCATAGGAGGCAGCGACCGGGGCCTCCTCGTACAGGACACAGATGGAACCGTCCTCACCGATTCGGTAGGACACTTCATAGGGATCAACCCACAGGGTCAGCTCACTGGGCAGCAGCCGATGTAGCTGGGGCTGGCTGAGTCCAATCTGGCTGGCCACCTTGCTAATGATGGGGTCCATCTTGTGGTTGATGCGGATGCAGCGATAGCCAGAGCCTTTGGATGGTTTCTCTGGAAACCAGTGGTGTTTGTAATGATCTGTGGAGGAAGGACAAGAGGGAGATGCTTTGGTTAGAAAAGTATTGTCTCTGATGTTTACCACAAGGGGAGGATGAGAGTAGAGGGCCGGGAAAAGAGGAAGGGCTCAGTGACAGTATTTCAGAGCCTCTCCTTAAACTCCCCCTGCCACTTAGAAAGATCCCTGGGCCTTTTCCAAGGACATGTACATTGGAAGGCAGCCCCAGAGCTTTCAGGTAGATGCTCTCCCGGGGGTCAGGGATATTTTTGGCACAATCCAGCTTAAGGAAGGATGGGCTAGTATGAACAGGCAGGGTCTCTGAGAACCCAGACACTGAAATTTCAAAGCCCAGTGAGCGACCAACATTGTTGGGTGTCCAGCAAGTCACCAGGCCTCCCATCCCTCCCCCACCAGAGGAATCATGAGATCTCTAGCAAAGGTAAGGGAATAAAAATGGTTTTGTTTTGATGAAACAGCTGTTGGTCCTCAGATCTGTGCCAGCATGTTGAGAGATGGCTATCGCTGCCCAAGGCAACCAACCAGCTATAACAGCTGGAGGCAGAGGCGAAAGGGCTGCTTATCACTCCTCCACCTCCCTGCCTCACACCCTGCCCTGCCTCCATAACTCGCACCCCCACCCCCACCCCCAGCAGGCTAGGCTACTGGACTCTTTTCTGTACTACAATAGGTGGCAGATGGTGAAGAGGAACCAAAAGAAATAAATACAAAGGGGGCCCAGATTACAACTTCCAGCGGGTAAACAAGCAGCAGAATGGTCCAGGACAATGGTAGGCCAAGGACTACAACAACAGTGTTTGGGACTCGAAAAGTTCAATTGCGCATAAAGTCGCATAGCTTGACCTGGCTTCGTGGCCCACAGCATCCCCCAAGGGTCTGGACTGGAGGTCTCCAAGATTCAGAGAAAGAGTTGAGTTAGGAACCTGAGCGCAGACCACTGGCTCTTTCCGTGGTGTTGTTAGGGACTCAGAATGTACTCAAGGAAGAGGGTCAGCGCCCTGGGAACGAGGCGGCGGGGACTGGAGGGCGGGGAGGCGGAGATCTAAACCAAGGGACGAAGGACAACAGGCGGCCTCGCAGATTAGAGCAAGGCATTTGAGACCAGGCGCCGCTCGCGTAGGGGTCTCCGTCCCAGAAACAGTGGGGAAAGACACCCCAGGCAAGGAGGGGCCGCTCCCCGGTGGCTTTGGGA